TGAGGTGTGTTGGAATTTCTGCCTTTGTTCCTTTTGCTGTTTTCCTCGGGGCAGGAAAATCTAGTAAAACTGCCTTGTTTAAAATCAGGGAGTTCAAAGACAAATTGTCAATTTTAATTTAACATAGTTCCTTTTGAGACGTTTTATAGTCTGCAGATAGAGTGGGCATCTGGTGTACAGCCAACAGGAAGATGCAGTGTTTTAAAGGACTTCAGAAATTATAATTTCAAACCAGAGAATCTCCAGTTAGTTGTGCTATTGAGTACTTGATGGGATTTTACATCAGTTTAAACGGGATCACTGGGGGGAAGCTGTTGAATGGTATACAGCCCCGAGATCCAGGCTGAAAACACACCAACTGTGGGAAACTGTCAGAGGGTAACAGAAAGAATGTTTCTGCTTGATTATCTTTAACAGGGAGTACAAAAAGGCATTGGCCTTTAATTCTGTTACGAGAAGGCTGCATGAGACTGATAGGGAAGACATATCAAACTGTAGCCATCTCTGGCTGTGGTCTGACGGGGGTGCATTACAGGGAAAACTTGGTTTCTTTTCCTGTGCCATAGTGCACTCTTACTTCATTAAAAGTACTATTGCTAGCATGAAAGTAAGACTGAAATCGGAATCTAAGACTGCAAATGTCATCTTTGCCCTCAGATGGTCTGATCATCTTTTCAGTGGGTGGAGGGTGGGCTAGTAACTTCTTGGCTACTTTTACAGGTAGGAGATTCTTATAGAAAAGACATCATTTGTTACTGGGGTCTTCAAAACTCTGCTTATTTTCCTCTGTGAGATTCAAATGGGGAAGCCCTTCAGCTTTTGGAGGTGTGTGCCTTGAGGGCTTCTGAGTATTACCTGTAACTGCAGGTTCTTAGAGGTTTTGGGAAAGGGGGTGTGCTAATTAAGCTGGTATTCTCATTGAAGGAAATGTTTATCAAAGTATGCCTTTAATGGGTCTGAGCTGCCAAGTCAGTTTGTAGATGTAAAAAAAAATGTAAAACCTTAAGAATTAGTGTGAGGTTTTCATTAGGCACTTTAGATGTAGCAGTGAAAATTCTGCCAAATAATTTTTGCTTTTTTGAAAGCAGGATTTATCAAGTATTTCAGGATAAAGTATAGCATGGCTTTATTGCAGTAAATATTATTTTACCAATTTACCTTTAACACTGAAAGTTACTTGTTTTTTGTTGATGTGGTCTTGTATTAATGTGTTGCTTTATTTAAAAACAACAACAAAAGAAACCATAATAGGGTTTTTTCCCCAGTTCTCTTTTCCTGCTAGGAAGCATATGGTGAAATTTTTCAAGAGGGGCATAGGAAATAAGAAACTGATATGCTGACTTTTGGTTTTATCTTGCTTAAATACCTGATCTTTTCTGAATATTAAATCTCCAGGATGATATAAACCATTCTGTTTTGATAATTAGTAAGCAGCAAGAGATGGGGTATGTGTTAATATTTTACATAACTAATACCTGAGAAATGTGGTCTTGATGTAGAAGAGGCCAGTGCTACCCTGTCGGTTTGTCACTGTGCATTAACTGCCTGCAACTTGCCACAAAGTAATCTCTTATGTATGAGAAAATATAATTTTCAGTAAATCACTTTTTCCATCAGAACCCTAATTTGAAATATAACTGCCTACAGGCAGTCGGGCTTTATTAATACATGAACATATTCCTTGATTGTAAGTTTAAGGTATGAAGCTATCATTGAGGTATAGCTCTGGGGAAGGCTTTTGTTCGCTACGGTAATACAGCTGCTGTCATAGCAAGAATGGAGAATATCTTCACTTACAGATGCAGACAAACATTAACATCAGGAAACCAACTTCAGCACAGTGTTGACAACACAGGGAGATCCAGCTCTTATCTGTAACTCATTTAAACCATAGCTGTGTAGCTCAAAGGAACTGCAAGCTAATGTGATACAGAAGTGCTATAAATATTTTTTTTTACCAGTCAGCTACTTTTACTAATGAGTAGAGCATGAAGCTGTGGATCTTTTTTTCAGTTGTGTGCTCATGCAGTGACAAGCATGTTACATGCAACTCCTGTGGATAAGAGATCTGAAAAATGGTTATGGGGAGTGCTGTTGGCACTGAACCTTGGATTTTTTAATCTGCTGGAAATATGGAGTTGTCAGCCGTCCAATCTGATGCAGGTTACTGGCATGAATGTCATGCTTGCCTGCCTGTTCAGCAGAGTAACTTGGGAAATTCTAGTATGAGAACAAAGCAATATACTTCAGTTCTCTTACCTTTTTCTTCAGTGGCTCAATCTTGAACTTTTTTTCATCAAAGAGTTAATTGGGTTTCTTACGTACTTCTCTTGGAACTATTAAAGTTTGGATCATATTTGAAAAAGCCAACAGCAACTACTTTTATCCTCTTGATTCATTTTGCCTTGCCCGTGTTTGGTGTGGTTGCACTGCATTCTTGATTCAGGTTTAGCATTTAGCAATGTCCTGAAGGTTGAGACAAAATTTGACTCCCTCAGAGTTTTGTGGCAACTATCTGGTGCAGATGTTCAGAGGTCTTCATTAGATAACTTTGAACTACAGATATCATCATAGCAGTCAGCACTTTATGGAGACAGCGTCCTGTCTTGTCCCCAGATTTTTAAGGAATTCCTTGACCATATTGATGAAATATTTTTATGATGATATAATGCTCTGTCACTTTTAAGGATTCTTGGAACACAGAAACTGCTGTTACGATTGCAAAGGACTTCTGTTTAAAAGGCAGATGCAGAAACTTGGTTTGTTGTTCAGCAGAAGGGTTCACAGTAACACTGTCCTCCAGAAAGAACACTACTTCCAGTGTGCTTATTTATGAGTTCTACCAGAAGTAGAGCTTGGCTTTGGGACAGTGTTATAGATGGAGCAGAAATTTTGTCTAGGAATAAAACTAGTTGAGGACAAAGGACTGAGAAATAAGCTTGAGTATTTGTTCTGGTCAGAATGGTCTGAGTTCAGTGGTTTAAAAAAAAAAGGACTGGAGGCATTTTCTGTTTCAGAGATTTGGCTTGCCTTTTTACAAAATATGCTCTGCTTTCACAGTACAGCATGAGCCCACTATATTTTTTGTAAGCCATTGTTTCTTTTCAAAGATGTGAGTGTTTGCCTGCTGTGATCTTCCCTTAGTTCAGCTAATGTGGCTAGAATTCAGCGATTTCTCAAGCAGATGTGGGTCAACTCACCTTGGGTTTAATGACTTGCAAACAGGTTCTTTTGGCTTAAAAATGTGTTGTTTCCAGTCTACCACAGTTCAGTTTTGCTGAACAACGTAGGTTGCCTTTTTTGGTAGGATGTAAAGGGTAGAGGGAATCAAATACTGTGCTATTATCGGGCTTCTTTTTCAAAGGCTTAAAAATAGCTTTCTGTGATACCAAAGCCATGAACACAGACTACTGTGAAGCACATGTTCCTTAAAGTTATTTCAGACACATGGTACTGTGTGAAAGTCTGCCCTGATGGGGAGCTGCAATAGTGAAAAAAACTTGTCCCAAAGGTCTTGAAAGTACAAGTAAAGTAGCTATGTTTTAGAGCAAATATTTTATACCATTTTTTATAAGTTCCTGCATAACAAAAACATCTTCTACTTAGTTTAATAGTGATGCAGTATTGTGATTTCACTGGTTATGCAGTGAAATATTCTCTGCAATAAGAGGAGTTGGTGACTGCTTAGAAAGGATAAGTACTTCACATTAAGTACTGAGCATTAAGCAGGAGTGTTGGGGGGGAAAAAGCAACTGCTGTAGCCGGGAGCAGACTTTAAAGTTGCGTTGATACAGCTCTTAAATTTGCCTCAGGCCAGCGTAGGGCTGTTTGCTCTTGAAATCATGTATGTGTAGCTACATTCTTCAGTTAAATGATGGATTAAGTATTAATCATCAAGGACACTAATTTTTTTTTGTCATCTTTTTAAGTTTATGGTCAGAGCTTTCTCTTGTTAGCTACTGCTCTTACAATAACTTAAGTCCTGCATCAATATTGAGATCAAGTTGACTTTAGGCAAGCTTTTAATTAATTGGTGTATTTAAAATGGAATCACTGTATATGTTTAATGAAGATTGGTCATGTTTATAGTTGGAGTTAGTAGCACCACTTACTATGATTGCCCTGACTACTTGTTTTAAAGGACCTACTCTTTAGTTCCTTACAACATTGTCAGACTTAATAATTAGACCAACATTTTCCATGTAATTTTGTTTTAACTGTATATTCTGGAGAGTTTCAAGAGTTTCACTAAGTTTAATAAAGAACAAGGTGAAGGGAAAGGTCATATAATACCTGACAGTTTTTTCTTTGAGAAGCAATGCCTCCATACCTTTTAGTAGAATATAAAAATGAAAACAGCATCCTTCTCCTGTTCCTTTGAATATAGATAGTTAGAACATGCACTTGATCAGGCTTTCTCCTTTTCATTAGATGCTTCTGCTTGCTTCTACTAGTGGCTGACTGACCCTTGGGCTGTCCTCAGACATGCTGTAGGTGCTCGGCATCCTTCTGATCAGACTGAGCAGTCTCTTTCCCGCGAACAGACTGAGAACACTTCTGCAGAGTGTTAAGCATCATTTGATTGAGGACTGCAGGACTGAAACTCTGTAAATAAGTAATGGTTGGGCTATGCTACAAATGAGTTGAGAGGGCATGGAGTTCCCTCTTCCTCACATCCCATACTTTCTTTGACTTGAGCCTGAACAGCAGCAATAAAGAAGGAATGTAACTGAAGTGTGGAGGGATTGTAGCAGGAAAAGGCACAAACTTATTCATAGAATTTGAGGCTGCGGAAAAAAATGCAGAGATGAGACAGAAAGAAAACTGACAGTTGGGAGATAAAGATTGAGCACAGGCTGGGATGGGATCAAGATGGAAATTGAAGAGCAGGAAGGGAGAGTGAGATAGTCTGGAAAGAAACTGGGAACATTAATTTGCTTGGGCAGAAATAGGAGGATTGACCACCTGACAGATGGCTCTGGAGAAATTTTGGAACCAGAAGCCAGGGCAGGTGTTGAGCAGCCTGTGATTGAGAAAGCAGAGAAGGAAGCAGAATCAGGAGGTAAGTCTGCTGTACACTCGCTAAGGTGGAAGATCATGTCAGAGGAAGAAAAGGAGAAGCTGGGCTGCACTGAGCAGTCTGAAGTGGAGCCTGGAACTGGCTAGAAGGAGTTGTGTGTGGGAAGAGGGGTCTTGAGTTCTTGGTAGGTGACAGGCACCAGTTGTACCAGGTCTGCTGGACAATGGTGTGCAGCAGCTACTCTTGTCAGTCGTGACCCGAGAAGCCAGAACAATGGTTCTAAAAATTTCAGCCCTGCTTGAGTTTTGTGAATATTGGCCTGAAGCAGTCTGATTACTTTCAGACACCCAACATGTTTTGATAAATATGAAGTTACTAACATTTAAGATTAGCATTTTTGAACTGTAACTTCGCATCTGTTTTGCAAATTGTTTGCCTTCACAGTATGCACTAATGCTGTATTGACTAATACTAGTCAATAAATAAACTGCCATCAATAGTATCATTCTACAGTACTTTGTCATTTAGTGCAACAGTGTTCAGTTTTTCAGTGCTTGCGCTTCAAAATGTGACTGTCTTATTTCTCATATGCTACTGAAATTCCATTGAGAAGCTAGAATTTACTTCTTTAGAGGTAGTAGGTAGTACTTATGACAAATATTTTTGATCTTCAAAATATGCCTGTTCTCAAAGAAACTCCCATCCTAGATTGAGAGTAAAGATCCTCCTGTGTATCCTTCCTGTACTTTCTGTGGGAAGATTATGAATATGCAGTAATTTTCACTGGCTGTTTTGAGATGCTGAGAACTAGATTAGAATTGCCTTTTTTTTGTTATCTGGCTCCTTATATTTACAGTAGTTTCCACCAAATAGCATGTTTAGGTTCTGTGTACAGATTGAACTCCTACAGGACAAGTTACACAGTTGGTAAAACTTCCATTGCCAAGCACAAAGAAGCTGAATTACCATCATGTCTTGTTTCTGATACAGTCTCACATTAATGAACAAGCTTAGAAAGAATCTGTTGAGGGTGAACATATACAAATAATACATAATAGTTTCATAGTGGGCTCTAAGGTCTTTTCCACAGTATTTTCTTTTTTCTTAAATTTTACAGCTTTTACCTGTGACCTTCTTGCCAGATAAATAAAATAGTGTTTAGCAGTGGAGAACCTCATGCAGTGACTACTCAAAACCTGTGTGTGGTTGCAAAATGTTGTTTCATTTGCTTTTTAAGAATATTAGCTATCTCTTGGTTTCTGGAATGGTTATTTCATCAGTTTTCTTTTTGCAGAGTCTGAAGAAGACACGTCCCAGACAAATGAAACATATGATAAAGCACCAAGTCCTGAGCAGCTAAATGATAAGCTAGCTGAAGAAGTTGAAAAAGAAGAAGCAGAAAACATTTCAACAACCGAAGACTCTATTTCAGAGTCTATTTCAGCTGAACAAAGTGAAGAATCTTTAATGAAAGCAGAATAAAGTATTTCCAAGTGCCTTCTGTAGCTAGTTTTTTAGCTTTGTTCATGCCTGTTGTTACTATTCAGGTGAGCTTTTTTTAATGGTACAACTTAAAAATCTCGCTTGAGCTTAAACTGCCTCAAATGCCACAGTATGTCAAAGCTATGTGTAAAAGTGGGTATTGTAAATTAAGCATGTGTCTTTAAATAAGTTAACACACAGAATGTATAGTTGGTTGAAGTCTAACAGTTGTAGCCATAGTTCAGTTTGCATATTTAAAAACTTAGAAGTACAAGCTTCTCTAAGGGTGACCTGTAATTTGAGATCTCTTTAGCTGTCGTACATAAAGAGCAATTACTGGCAGCAACTGACCTAGTAAGTTTGGTCTAGTGAACGAAAGATACTTTTTAATGCTTCCCTGTTAAAATCAATTGAGTGAATCTTAAATACACAGATGTTTACAAGCTAAAGTCTCATCCGACATTTGACTTAGGCATATGGAAGTGTCATTGCAGTGGTGTTAATGTTATTCATTGTCTAACTTTTTGACAGAATTCAGTTAAATGGCACTCAGATAAATGGCATCTCCTTTGGTATTTGCATTGCAGATGAACCAGAGGCATGTACATACAAAACTGTTTTGTGTTTACATAAAATATAGAAAGTCTCTGCACTTGATTGTACTTGAAGACAAAGCACTATTTATACCTGTACAATAATGACAAGATATAAGTGAATTTTGTGCCTTTGTGTATTTTGTTAAGGAAAATAAAGACATCTAGCAGTAATACTTGGTTTGTGATTCCTAAAACTGAAGAGAGTTTCTGTTCTGCTGTGTGCAGCCATCCTGCAGTTACTTTGTGGAAGTTCAGAAGGAGTATGACACCTTAAAAGCAGCCTGTCTATATGTAGCTAAGGTGGCTTTGATAGAATAGAGATGATCTCTGATCAATAGGGGAAGTGCAGTGACAAGACAAGGGGTAATGGTTTTAAACTAAACCAGGGTAGGCTTAGACTAGATATAAGGAAGAAGTTCTTTACAATGAGGGTGGTGAAACACTGGAACAGGTTACCCAGAGAGGTAGTGGAGGCCCCATCCCTGGAAACATCCAAGGCCAGGTTGGATGGGGCTCTGAGCAGCCTGATCTAGTTAGCGGTGTCCCTGCTCCTGCGGGGGGGTTGGACTAGATGACCTCTAGGGGTCCCTTCCAACCCAAAACATTCTATGATTCTATGATTCTATGCATGTGCGTTTGCCAAAAGACTTTCCTAACCATGCCTAAAGTCTGTTGATACTATTTATTGTTGAAATCACAATGAATATTTGCTTCTGGATTACTGAAACTGTACTTTTTTTTTTATTGTATAGCTTTTCAAACTAAGGACACTTGTTATATTTCCTGTTAAATATAACAGTTGGGAACCTGGACTAGAATTTTTCTGGTGCCTGGAAGTGAGGTACCTAAATCAACTAGATTTTTTTAGAAATAAATGCTCACTGTGTGTAACTTGGTTGATTTAGTAATAGTTCTGATAAAAGTTTTTATCGTGTGGGATGTTCTTTGTGTACTTCACTATATGGAGGGAAGGAGAAACTTCAAAACCTTTTTTTATGCATTGTCTTGGTCCCAAAGTGAACTGGTTTTATAGTGTAAAGGCAGCAAAAAGCTAAATCTAGCTCAAAAGCCCTCTACAAGAAAAAACTGTTTCTAAATGTGACCTTAGTATCCATGTCTTTATATGAGGCATAATTAGTACATGAACAGCAATGATTAATTTTCTTTTCCAAATATATGCTTTATTTTCTGATTCTTTGGGGTTAGTTTAGAAGTTCAACCCTTACATCAGTCAGAATCAAGTTTGGTCTGTATTTAAATAAATGAGGAAACTTTCTGGTTCACTAACTAAACTGCAATTTGTATTTTAATTAGTAATCTTCATAGACAGAATGTAGGCATGTGATTAAAGGAGTACTAGTAGGTGTTTGGCTATATTTATATAAACAACAATTAGTAAAAACAGGCAAACATCTTGTGCATGACTATCTTACTTGGGAATACAAAGAAGACAGTCCCTTTTCCAAACATGTCTTGGGGTATGAGAAAAGTACAGCATGCAAAGTGACAGGGGAATGTATTCTTTAATATTTTAAGAGAATGTATTTTATATTCCAGAACTTCTTTAAAATGGAAATAATTTTGCCTGAAAGGTGACAAAGCTCACTCGTTATTTTGTAAGACTTTCAGATGTTAATTTCTCCATTGCATTTTGTACCTCACTAATTTATCTGTTTAAGGGTTATTTCGCTGGAGAGAAAAAAAAATCTGAATATTTTAGTAATTCAGCACAGTAAGTTGTATGTACTTACATTATAAACACTAAACCCAACTAAAATGTGATGTTATGATCCCTCATATGGGATATGAATGCATGAATTAGTCATTTCAGAAGTTAAGATTATCATAGGATCATAGAATGTTTTGGGTTGGAAAGGACCTTTAGAGGTCATCTAGTCCAGCCCCCCTACAGTGAGCAGGGACAAGATTACTCTAGGCCCATGTATTATTTCCTTTTAAAAAATGTGCTTCTTAACTGTCAGGCTGTGTATGTAGAGTAATTTTAGGTCCTTCCCATGACAAGCAACCACTGATCTGTAATGCATATAATATCTATTGAATTGACTGAGAAAATAATCTGTTGATATTGGAGCTATATATTCCAGTTTTTTCATTAGCCTAGAAGATGCCTGTTTTCAGATGCCCTGCTTTTGCCAAGGAAACTGATGCTTCTTAGATTGGGAATCTGAATTGTTTTGGAAAAGGAGGCTCAGTGTCTGGCATGGTGTGGGAGGACAGGAAAGTGTTACTTCTCCCAACATTCTTAAATGTGACATTAGCAACTTGCCACAGGAATGATTGATACTTACTGTTTAATATGTCACTGAAGGATCAAGTAGAGGCGGTCGACCTGATGTGAAAACAAATACTTGTTAAAATGTGAAAACCTAGCTTTATGAGACCTAAGACTAGCTAGAATTTTTGAGGAGGGGAAGAATATGAGTTTTAAGCACATGACAGAGTTGTCCTGAAAGGCTTTCATAGCAAAAAAAGTACCCAAGCAGTTGTTCCCGTTAATTGCTTCAGAAGGCTTGAAAAAGATGTTAAGGATGTCCTGGTATTTTGGTAGAGAAAGATCTATTTTTAACTTCCTAATTTTTCAGGGTTTTAAAGCAACTATAGTAAATGAGGGTAGAGGGTTAATTAATCTGTAAGTGAATTCAGGCTCAGGGAGATACATATGATGGTAATAGACCCTGGGCTTTCCTCAGTTTACAGTAAGCAGTCACGTGTTACTTGTGCCAAGTATGTGCACCCCAGTCCTGATACAAATGTGAGAACAGGATTCTGTTTCTGCAGCAATTGCTGCTTGGCTTCTCTCTACTGCAAGCATGGCAATAGTAAAAGATGCCTGTCCAAAAGAAATTGGATCGAAATCCAAAAATACCTGTTAGTGAACAGCAGTAGCCACACCTAGTCATGTCTTTATAACCCCTAAAAACTTGGAAGTAGGAGTATGTAGAGCAAAAAGGTACAGCAGTTGTCAGTGGTGCATAATTTAATTGCAGACTTGCTCTCAAAAGATGAGAAGATGGAAGAAAGTAGGGGGAAAATACAACAAATGCTATGGTTCCATGTTTTGTTGCCTTCTGACTTCCTAGTGTGTATTTGAATCCTAATTTTTTCCAAAGTACTTAAAAGCCTGGTCCTGTGAAAATCTCACTTCTGAGAGATGTTATACAAGCCCCTTTTCTTCCCGTGGCTTGGATTAAAAGCAGAATTGGGTGGGGTAGTAAAGTAATACTTGGCAAACTTGGTGGTGCCATGTTTTTATTGCTTCTGAAATATTGTGAGTAATTGCAGAGATCTCCTTTCATTCAAATGTATTTTATGCATTAGGGAGGAATTATCTGGGCTATGTAAAATCTGCCATGAAAGACAAAGAACTATTCTATTTCAAAATAAATTGGAATGAGTCAGTTTGTAAAACTTAAATTTGACCAAAGAAGCCTGCAGAAGAGGGAAATGAGGAATGCTACTTCAAATTCTAATACTTACTCTAAAGGAGAATGCAATTGATTACCCTGGGACATTTTGACAGAAATAGATCATTTAGTGGAATCTTGGCATGAAGATGGTTTGTCTCGAGAAAGCTGTTCAGCCTACACACAGGAAAAGCAGAAGCTCACAAGGAAAGGCAAACGAAGATGATGCGAAAGCTGACAACTTACGGGCTGGTCTAGAGGTTATCAAAAGCGTCTAACTAGGGGTGTGTATGGTTGCCTTGAAGTCAAACAAGAAGGTTGAAGCCCATGTGCATGAGTAAAAGCTAATGAAAGGATTGAAAGAAAAGAATGACAGAGTGAAACAGATTTGGGGGGTAGGAGGAGTGGTTTTGTCTGTCAGAGCAAGGTCTTACTCGAGATAAAGAAGATAAGAGCTTGAAAAGATTTTTCAGAAAATGTAGCAAGGTTTGGCTAGTACTACATGGCAGTACATACCCCAGGTTAATATCATGTTCTTATGTCAGAAATAATAAGGATGCAGTTGACAATCATATTGGAGAAACTGGTTTGCTTTTTAGAATTAATTCCAGAATAAGTGGATGATAATAACTTGGTAGAATAAGATTGTCTAGCTATTGCTAGAGGTGATGGTAGCAAAGTTACCCTTATCCTTCTTATTTAAACATTAAAACCTCAGCAATTCCTTTCTACTTCTAGGATTAGTGAAACTGTAGCAGTAATTAATTTTGATAACCTTATTAACCTTCGAAGACTAGAAGCAGCACTTCTCTGGTGCATGGTTCTGAACGTAGCAGTATTTGTGCACTTGTGGATCTGTGGTGATGGACAAGTGAGTAGGCTGGAGGAAACTGTTCATTATTTGATAGGTAAGTCTGCTATTAAAAACTTCAAAAGTCTTAATCTTCATAAAGTCTGAACAAAATCAGTACAAGAATACTAGATGTAAAAAAACTTCTTCTAAACAAGCTGCTTCTGGAGTGAGATTTTGTTAGGTCTTCCACAATGAGGAAGGCTGTCCATGGTAAGGGATGGCCTCGCTGTGAATGTTTCACTAGAACAACAGCCTCAAAGATTCGTTTTGCATCTTTGTTGGCAAATAATCATTTGACCAGTTCACTGAGTGTTCTCAAGCAAAATCTTTAGGCCCTCATTTCCTTCTGTGTCATGCAGATTGGGTTTTTTGCCTAATATCTGCGATGTTATTTCCTGTCCAGTCGCATGGTTACAAGTTAGTGCCTCACATCTCAGCATCTCATGTTTCAATTACGTTATTGAATTGATAAATGCAAACCTGTCCAGACTTCTGGTGTAGTTACCCTCTGAAGTTTCATGTGAACGTAGTGTATAGAAGACCGTATAGAAGACACATCCCTAATACAAACTAATTTTAAAAAAAGGCTAAAAATACATCAAGTGCATAAAACACTAGGAGGAAAGTAGGCTTTCCATGAATAGACTTGGACTGGAAGTTTGAAAGTTGAAATGATTTGGACAAACAGCCTTGCAGGAGGCATTAGGTTTAAAGTGGAGCTTGAGAATGAGGGGGCAATAGGAGATTACTCTGGCACCCGTGGATTCTTTCCCATGGTGTGTGCCTTTCCTGTTTTTGCTTAAGAATATTAAATGACAGGATCTGTGTTCATGGAAGAGATTTTTGGCTGTTGTCAGAAAGTTTTGATTCACTGGAAGTGTTTGTGAAGCTGTTAATTACTGATCTGTGGCTGTGCTCCTCTCTCCCAGTGTGTGGTCTTTAGGCAGAGTTCACAGGTCTCAAGCTTGTGGAGGGTGATGAAGGTGAGGAATTACAACCAATTCTTCCAGCGCTAATATTCCTGTGGGGCTGACTGGCATAGGGCTGTTGGCTTCCAGGTTTTGGCACATAGTAAGGCGCCACAGCTTCTGTCGGAGGACAAGCTGTAAACTTCT